AGGCCCCTGCAGTGACGGAGGGAGTGGGGCTGGGGCTGAGGTAGGTGCTGCCCAGCCAGGGTGGGGCAGGCACGGGACGGAGCCGCGGCTCATCCAGGGGGTGTGGGACAGCTTCTGCCGCTGCGTGAGGGGGCAGCTTCCACTGCTGCACACCGGTTGTTTGGCTGCTTGCCTGGTGGCTCCCACTGCTGCTCCAGCTGCTTGTCTGGGAGGGCGCGGGGGGAGGGGAGGGGAGGTGGGCCCCTCGATTTGCGTGGGGTTGGCTGCAGTTGGCGGGAGCTGCCCTCCTCCCCACCCCTCCTGACGAGCTGTGGCTCCATCCCGCACCCCTCTGCCCTGTCTGGGCAGTGTCTACTCTTGTTCCTGCCCCATGCCTCCCTCACCACGGGGAGCACTGATCTGCTCCCTCTGCCACGCCCCTTCCCTCCCCCCTCCTCATCCATCACACCAGACTTACCAGTTGGATGTACCTCTCCAAGCTGCCAGGCTTGTGCTCTTTGCTGCCTGCATGCTGGCTGTGGCTGTGTGCACACATGAGCATTTATTGGCCACTTCAGGCCGATTAGTGATATGTTTCAACTTCTCTAAAATTAGACTTGTTGGGGTAGGCCGGTAAAAGATAGTTTTTTACTAGGTGTTTGTGTACATCATGTAACACCATGGGGCTTGAATCTTTGTGGGTATGTATGAGTGTTGTTGGACTGTTACTGCAAAGAGTATGGACATAGCTGTTTGTTTGGATGTGAATGTACAGGACTTTAAAATATGCTCTGGGAACACTCTTAAGGCCATAGTAAGTAGGAGCTAACTTGCATGAACTTACCTCTTTCACTGAGGATTAAACTAACGTAGCTTAGCTTCCACTTAATATGGAGTAATATCATGAAGGTCCTACTGTGGAGTAGCAAAAGCCGACTCACTTTCTCCTGAGGGTGTCCATACCCTAATAAACAGGTTGTCAAAAGTACATGGCTAAAAAAGGAGCAAGTTTAGGGTTAAATATCAGGCATAAAATCTCCTTTGCTAATGATTGGAAGTAACTAGTGGCTATTTAGCATCATTTTGATTAATGCAGAATTGGAGTTACCGTGGATACCTTGATTTTGCTTTAAATTTCTTTCCCTTCCACATAAATGTGAAGCCTTGCACATCAAATATTGGGAGCTTCAAACCC